AGGATTATTGTGCTTCCTGTGCCATCCCTAGCATAGAGGGTTTCAATAAAGACTGCTCGATTAATTTTTTTCTAATTCAATGCCATTTGTCCATTTGCCTACTTTAAAAGTGCTGTGGCTTTCGCTTTGATAAATGAAATAATTTTCCAAAACGTACACAATCACTTTGGCGATGCTCGATCTTCATTTCTGCACTGGGTAAAGTGCTTTCCATTGAGCTTGGGCTTCTTTCCGGAAACTGCCTCAAGCAGAAGTCAAGCCTGAAAAACCTTATTTTGTGAGGGGTATTGTGAGGGGGATCATTATTAAACTCTCTTATTAAATTCGAGGTTTTATAAATACAGCTTCCTTGACGCGTCCCAGCTACACAGAATCACACTTAATGACTGTAAATACCTTCCTTCCAAAGACTGCTGGGTATCACACTGTTGAATCATCACCCTGGGTAGAGTTTCCTCCAAGGACACCACTTCATTCCAGAACAGCCACTTCAACTGCAGCATCAATGGCTGAGAGGGGTCCAGGAGTTTCAGAAAGCCAATGGGAAGCCCTCGGAGAGACCACCACCGTCCTCCCCCAGCCAAGAACACAAAGAGCTGGTCGAGTCGGGGCCTCTTAAGACAGTCTCGTTCCCCACATCAGACACAGTGGGGGTTTTACACACGTAGCTGTGTTCTTTTTGCAAACACTCTGGTAACAAATCGCCCTCCACTCCATTTGAGAGCATACTGTGTATTTATACACTGACATTCTCTCAAGTAGGGTATGTGAGGCATACAAGATGATCCACTGGGGTGGAAGAATATTTGGATTCGTGCTTATGGTTGTGTTTATTTTAAAATAAGACAGACATTAATTTTTACTAGTGTTTGCTACGTGGCACGATGTGTGTAGGGGTCGGTGAGCTTGGGAATGCCAGAGCAGTGGACTGTGGCTCTCTGACGCCTTTATTGGCCTTCGCATATCACCAGGCACTGCAGTTTCCTTGCTGCAGAATACCATCGACGGGGTTCATTTAGATTTTTACATGGTAAATTTTTTACCATACCTTAAAAGTTGGCTGTATATTCTTTCAGATTTTTTCCCTAAGCTCTACTAACAAATGGTTATTTTTAAAAGCAGAAATAGGTTCATATCTACATATGCATCTTTTTTTTTCCTTCTTAACCATATGGTTTGGGCATCTTTTCGTGTCAGTATATATAGCGCTACCTTGTTTTTCCAAAACTTATTCCTTTAATGTTTGCATAGAATAGTCTTTATGCTCATTACGAGGTTAAGTCATTCCTAAAAATATTCAGATGGTGAATTTTTATAAATGGAAAAGATAGTAACTATTTGAACTTGATGGTAACCATTACTGCAAGAAATCATAAGCAGAACATATGTATGATTCTTTAAAGTTATGAAATTGGAAACATTTAGAGTAACAGAGACAAAGGAAACAATGCAAGTAATGCCTAGACGTTGTCACTACCACAACCAGCAACTTAACTGCAATCTCCTGCATGCACTCCTGTGGAGATGACTGCATAGTGGCTACTCTGGAGGCGCCATATTGGTCCTTGTCAATGCAATAGAATTCCTCAGAAACCAAAAAGAGGCTGTTAAATGGAACTCTTCATCGAGTCAAAATCTTGAACTTCTTTAGGTAGCTCTTGGGGTAAGACTTTTTTTTTCAAGGAAATAAATACACATAATTTATTTCTCAACTGTCTATTATCTGGACATTTGAGTGTGATAGTCAGAGAGGGTTGCCAAAACAAAACCCGACTGTCTGAGTGGCTTAACACCAGAAGTTTACCTTCTCACAGTTCTGGAGGCTGAAAGGCCAACAGCAAGCTGTCAGGTTTGGTTTCCCTGGGGGCCTTCTCCGCAGTTTGGAGATGGCCACCTTCTCAATGTGTCCTCACATGGCTTTTCTCTGTGCAGGTGCATCCCCAGTGTCTCTCTCTCTAAGGACACCAGTCATATTGGATTAGGTCGATATGAGGTCATATGAGCCATGACCTTAACATATCTTTAAAGGCCTTATCTCCAAACACTCACATTCTAAAGTACTAGAAGTTAGGACTTAAACATATGAAGGAGGAGGGATGATTCCATAACAGGAATGCGCAAAGACTATGTTTCTCATAATGTTCACTAGGTATTTCCTTGCCTCCCACACCCCTCAGTCCACACCAATCTCATTTCCATCCTCAGCACTCCACTGAATACTTCCATCCTCTGAATTCCACCTGGTCCAATTACAGTTGTCCTGTGGACAACTACACTAGTCTCTGAAGTGGTTTGGTGGCATTTTCCCCTCACATCCACCACCCTAGATCTCCTCTCCACATAGGTATGGTAAAAATGTATTTCTAATCTAATAATGCCATTCCTTATCTTGATACCCTTCTCCAGTGTGTAGCTTTTAAATTAAAATGATGGACAAGGTCTTGCAGGTTCAGACATCTGTGTACCTCTGTCACCCTCCCCCAGCCCACTGCCTTCCAGCCACACTGGCCTGCCTCCAACCCTCAAAAGAGCCAAGTTTTTCTCACTTAGGGGCTTGGGTTGTTTCCTCTGCCAGGAATAACCTCCCACATACTTCACATCTCAGGTTAAAAATCTGTCTCTCCAAGAAGCCCTCCTTGACCCCCACTGGTCAGGTCGCCATTGTCCCAAGTACCCACAGAACCCTGGGGATTACTTTGCGATGGTTATCACACATGACCCCAAGGAACATATTCATTCCCACATCCATTTTGTTGCTGTTGTTTGCTTGTTTTGGTACCTAGGTTGAACTCAGAGGTGCTTACCCACTACGTCACATCACCAGACCCCTTTCTTGTTTTGTATTTTATTTAGAGACAGGGTCTCACTGAGTTGCTTAAGGCCTTGCTGAGTTGCTTAGCCTGGCTTTGAACTCGAAATTCTTCTGTCTCGGCCTCCCAGAGCCACTGGAATTATAGGCATGCACCACAGCACCTAGCCCCACACCCTTTGTTCCTGGTGCAAAGTAGGCTCTCAATAAATATTTACTGAATGAATAAATAACTCAGTTTGCTGTTCCCTCTATCTGAGAAGCTTTTTTCATTCTTGTCATCTGTCAAATTGAGGTCAATAGCTCCCAGTCTTTCTGATTAGACCATGAGTTACTTCATGGCCAGGTCTCTGTACCCAGTGCACAGTAAGCAGGTGTGGTGGCACACAATAATCCTGCCAATTAAAGCAGAACATTTTGACTTTGCCTTGTATCCAGGCCCTACATTATCACCCCATTGAAGATCTTTGAGTCAGGAAGTAACTCAAAATAGTATCGACCTTCTATCTGATTCACAATGACTACCACTGGTAGAAAAAAATCATAAAGAAATAGAATTGACAATGGCTAAGATTGCATCTGCTAAATTTGCTTAAAAAACTCAGAAGAGTCACATCTTGAGGGTAACATTAGAAATTGCAAAAATAGGGAAATCAGAGATAGTTGAAATAATCATACAAATTAAAACAGACTGCTGATATTAAACATCTACAGACCTGAAAATTTTTACCAGAGGAAAATAGAACTTACTAGTGCCAACTCTCCCCAGCCTAAGACCACCAGGAACACACTTGTAGTTGAACAAGTTGAGTTTATTACTTGTTACTTGGAGAGTGTACACCAAAGACAAACTACAGAGTGTCTCAATATAAAGGTGTCAGAAATTATTATTGAGTGTGAGCTCAGTTTGGGTAAGCAGGAGAGGGTCTTATGGAAGATGGGTTGGGTCTAGATTGGATGTTGTCAGGAAGCAGAAGCAAATCCATTCTTGTGAATCTAAAAAACAAAATCTAATCAATAGGAAAATGGACTAGAACAAAGATAAAATTGTAATTGGAAAAAAAAAATGGTAAACTGCTGGTGAAAATGAGGTACCAGCCATCACTCATTTTCACCAAGAGAGGGGGATGTTTGATATTTTGTGGGTGGCCCAGTGACCATGATTTTTGTCTGTGGTTAAACAAAATTACAAAGTAGACTTGTTTTTTGGTAATGCTGGGTTTGGAATCCAGGGCCTATCACATGCTAGGCAAGCCCTCTCCCACTGAGCTCCACTGGCAGCCACGGCTTCTTCATTTTATCTTGCTCTTAGAATAACCTTGCCTGAGGTTGGAATTCTGTGATGCTGTTTATGTCCAAAATAACATGGCTGAGCTGAGGCAGGCCAGCTTTGGAATGCCAGAGTTGCTCTTTCTCCTTAATTTTTTTCAATAAAATGAGGGTGAAATAAGAAACCTCATAATGTCGGAAACCAAAGTAAAATTCGACATACAAATTACTGAAGAAATAAAACTTCATTATGAAACAAATGGGATTGGATAGTTTAACGATGTTGTATAAAATACTGATCAAAGAATTAAATTGGCTTAATGACATTGGCTCTGGAAAATTCTTTCTAAGTAGTTCATCACTGTTGATATAATCCTAATTAAAATTATTGGATTCCGGTTTTGGGGGAGATGTAAATTTGTTAGTGTCTTTGGAGAGCAATTTGGCCATATCCGTGAAAATTAAAATTGCATTTGTCTTTTGACATAGTAATTTTAGTCTTGGAAATTTATTCTACAGAGAAAATTGCATGTGTACATACAGGTATATACAAAGATATTACTATATTACACTAGTACCATTTGTAGAATTGAAAGATTGGGGGGGGGAAATTAACGTCCCCTAGTTAAGAGATCAGTTAAATACTTCATGACATATCTGTGCTGCATTAAACTAAGCAGTCTTGAAAAGGTCAGGGAGACGTTTGAGACCTGGCTACGTTCACCCTGTTGCAGATCCACCCAGCAGTGTGAGGCCGGGAGTTGAAGTCACGAGGGACCCCGGGAGGCAGCCCCCAATAGGCTGTCCTTAAAGTTTCCGTGGGGCCCCAGTGTGACGCTCCCGTTGCGGTCTACCAACCTCAGCAGGTGGAAAGGGTGGCTGCGTGGGCGCCACAACACTCCTGACCCGGTCCTCTGCCGCCTGCGTCACCATGGCAACCGGGGGCTGCCAGGCACTGAAGTGGGAAAACGAGGACCAGAGACAGGCAGCTTTCTGCCCTGTCCGCCCTCGAAATTCTAAGCGCCCAGGGAGCATCTCTGCGAGCTCGAGCCCCGACTCCTCGCCGGTCGGTGGTTGGGGTCAAACAAGAAGCTTCCCCTCGCCTCCGAGGAAACCGAAGGCGCCTTGGCGGGGGCACAAGCGCCAGACGAGGGAAAAGGGCTCCTAGTCCAAAACGGCAGGTTAAGGGAAAGCGAGGAGCTGCCCCCAACCCTAGGCGGAAGGCGGCCAGCGAGGGCTGGGCAAGACCCCGCGCGGCCTCGGACCCCCCCCTTCCGGCGCTACTCCGGGGGTCCGCATCACCATGGCAACCCGGGAGGCGGTGCGGCTTTCCCGCTCCGGCAGCCGTGGTCCCGCCCCTTCCGGCACTTCTCGGGGTCTCGCCTCGTCTTAGCAAACCAGCGGCTTTCGGCCGGCTCTAGGTACCCGAGGCGCGTGCCTGCGGTCACGGGCCCCGCCCCTTCCGGCGCTTCCTCCGCCCCCCCGCGTCCTTCACCATGGCAACCGGGGGCGGGTGGCCGGGATGCTGGCGCGGGGTGGGTGGGGGGCTGTGGGGCTGTAGCTCTAGGTCTCCCGGCCAGGGAGGCAAGCGGTGGGAGGCTGGGGGTGGGGAGGGACTCGAGGGCGAGAAGAAGGGTGTAGAAAGTGCTGGTGCCTTCCGCCTGCTCCTACGGGGGGCGTTAGGTGGCAAGGGCCTAGCGGCCCCAGGCCCCAGCTCCCGGGCGCTCCCTGGGAGAGGGCCGACGCGGGCTGCGGCTCCCGTTCAGAGTCGCGCAGGCAGCAGGGGGCGGTAGCGGCTCGCTGGGCGGAGAATCCCGGAGCAGGATGCAGGACTGGGGCGCCGAGGTCTGGGCAAGTCGTGGGCTTGTTCACATTCAGAACTGACCTAAGGCGCGGCCCTTGCTGAGCCGCTGACAGATCTCTACCCAGTTCCCGGTTCCATTCGCGGGAATCCTGTGTCTGCTCCCCTGCACTTAGCGATGTCGCTAGTGATTTAGAGCAAGGGCTCTGGACTCGGGCTGCTTGAGCAGGCCGCCTTCTCAGAGCCCCGTTGGCTTCGTCTGAAAGTGGTGATAATAATAGTAATTAGCCTAGGGTTCCATTGAGGATTAAACGAGGTGATGGGACCCAGTGTCGTTTCTGGACTTGATTTCTGGCACATGGCAACTGCTCGATAATGTTAGTTGCTATTAGATGACCATGGCCAAGTTAGTTAACCCCTCTGTTCTTAAGGTTAACCTTGCCTCATTGAAAAATGAGGGTAATAACAGAAACCACCTGGTACTGTGGTGACTTATTTTTAGAGTTAATATTTGTAAAGCTGCTGGAATGGTGCTAGGTCCATAGTTAGTGTCACAGAAAGTGCTCTGTTATTACTCAGATCATAGTGTTATCACTCTGTTTGCCTTGTGAATTTAAAGGATTGATTTTTGTCCTGCAATCATATGGATTTTTAGCCTCTTTCTGGATTACATAGATACTTGCCTACATTTCTCTTTTTACCTCTCAAAGTTTTCCAGCCTTTTACATGGTTAGAAGAGGCAGTATAGTGTCTTTGAGAGATCTCTGGGCTTTGAGTCAGGTGGACTTGGAACTTATGCTACTGGTTCTTCATGTGACCTTGGGCAGGTTACTTGCTGTTTTGTCATCTATCTCTAGGGTGCCTGGTGTCATCTTTCATGTATTTACCTCACCTGGTAAAGTAATGTATTCAGTAAAGATAGCACCTATGCCAGCAACTCTCTTAGAATAGTGAGATAAAGTGGCAAGTGCTTTGAGGAAATTATATGAGGTCCTATGGGATTCCAAGGAGGGAGAAGAAATTTCTTAATGTCTCATAAGTAGAAATACCAAGATGTTTGGGAGATAAGTGAGAATGATTCCACCCCAATAAAATGATGAATTTCCCACCCTGAAGCCATCTTATTTCTCATTTGACAGCTGTGAATCTATATTCATGGTGGGGCCCTGAAGGTTCCCAGCCTTGGACCCCGGAAGTGACCTCCTCACTAACTGGAACAGGAGTATCTGCTAATAGTAATTTTTTCCTTTTGTTTTTAGAAACCCTCCCTTGAGTCACCTTCCTTAAGTCTATTTATCCTCATGTTAATCCACCAGGTTAAAGGATAAGCAGTGTTTCCTGGAGGTGATGGGTATTAGCTTTGAGAGAGGGCATATAACCCTGGTGTGACCTGAGATAAATGTTTAAGCATCAGTTTTTCCTCATCTCTGAAACAAGTATAATAGTACCCAGGGCTGTTGTGATGATCCAGTGAGATAATGCACTTAAAGGATCAACTTGGTGCAGAGCAAATACTAAAAAAAAAAAAGGTTCCCTGTTCTTTTTGTTACCATGATGATGACTATTGTATTACCAGCTTACAAAAGAGAGAGTAATCTTTCATAGTCTTTTTATTCTCTTTATTGCCTGGCACATTATAGGGGCTTAGTAAGTTTTTGTTAAATGAATGAGTGAATCCACCCAGGAAGCTCAGATAACAGTGAATTTCATACTGCAGCTAATATTTATTGAATACTTGTGCCAGAGATTATGGTAAATCTCATAACCTCCTTTAACACTCAAGTTCAACAACTTTATGTAGCCTTCTGACTTGATTCCCGAAGCATGTGTCACTGGTTTACAGAATGTGCAAGTCCAGATGCTAAGAGTGATGTCTGCTACAGAGTTCTCTATTATTTTCATAATGAGGCCATGTGTTAGCTTTTCATTGCTGGAAACAAAATACCTGACAAGAACAACTTAGAGGGGGAAATACAGTTCATTTTGGTTCATGGTTTCAAAGGTTCAGTCCACAGTAGGCTGACTTCTTTGCTCTGGGCCCAAGATCAGGCAGAACATGATGGGAGAAGGACATGTCAGAGAAGTGCGGCTCAGTTCATGGTAATCAAGAAGAGAGAGAGCGTTGCCAAGGACATGCCCCCAGGGACCCACTGCTCCAGCCATTCCCCATCCACCTACAGTCACTACCCAGTTAGTCCATTCAAATTATCAATCCATCAAATGGACCAATCCACTGATTAGGTAATAGCTACCATAGTCCAGTCATTTCACCTCTGAACATACCTGCATTAACATACCTCCATATCAGAACCATAACAGGTACCATGATGCCTGTTAGCCTCTGGTAAGACAGGAGGCTGGTATCATGCGACATCAGGCACTGTGTTCTCATATCCTGAGGATGAGCTGCTTTGATGCACTTTCTCTTTTCTGGACATTGCACTCCCGGAGCACCAAGGATCAGTCAGAACTTGGGAGGGCCCTGCTCCTCAGGGTGATGATGTTACATAGCATCGGCATCACATTCATCTGTCCCCTCTGTGGCCACTTTCAGAGGAGTAGCAGCTCTAGAGTAAGAATAGAACAGGGAGGGTCTTTGTGCTGCTTTTGAGCCCCTCCCTGTATTTGAGTTTGGGGTTAGAGAATAGTTTAGGAATCATCTATTAGGATTCTATGCAGTCTCAGGGTTCCAGGGCCCCACCCCTCATCAAGAGCTGCTCTGGGAAAAGAACCACCTGAACACACAGAGCTTGGGTGGGGCATCCTGGTTCAACCAGAGCGAGCTCTTTGGAACATTGATGAACATGCTTCTCTTTATCCTCAATAGGAATTTTGAAAGCAAGTCGAGACTTTGAGCAAGTCATCATTTACTGAAATGTATGCAAGCATTTGTTCATTCACTGATTCAGCACATTTCCAGACACTATGCTAGGGCACTGGGGATCCAGCACTAAACCAAATGAAGATCCTGCCATCAAATAGCCCATATTCTAGGGCAGCCTGTGCCATACAGTGCCTTTCCAGGGAGGTGACATTGGAGCAGAGAACTGATAAATGATGGAAGAAGGTTCCAAGCAAAAGGAATAGCTGTGCAGAGTTTCTGAGGAAGAAGGCTAAGGCAGCTGTGGAAGAGCACCATGGAGCCGGTGGAAAGAGAGAAGAGGCAGGTCCTAGATTGCTAGGACCTGGGAGACCATGGAAAGGAAGGGCTTTAGATTTTATTCTGAGGAAGATGGGAGGACGCTGGAGAGGTGGCAGAACCTAATCGATAGAAGCATTCTGGCTACTGGATGGAGAACAGAATTGAGGAAGTAAGAGTGGAAATGGGCCAACTAGGAGGCTCATCAAAGACTCCAGGTGGGAGATGATAAGAACTTGGACTTGGGCGGTAGAGAAAAGTGAGAAGTACTTGGCTTTGGGAGAAATGTTGAAGGTGGAGCGGATGACTTCCATGTTGGGTGGGAGAGAAATGAGGAATGACTCCAAGGCCTGGGACCTGGGCACTTGGCTAAGAGGTGCTATTTCCTGGCATAGCAAAGGAAGGAGGGAAAATGACTGACGTCTGTCACAGTTTGCCAGATCAACTATTTTTCATGATGGCAGAGGCATCACTTGTTAGATGGAATGTTGGAATATCTGATGTCAAAAGGTTGTTTTAGCTGAGGTTTTCCCACAGTAATGAGTTATTTGCCCAAGGTCACACAAGTTGGCTTGGAAGCTAGATCAACTGATCGCCAGTGCTAAGGCCTCATAGTGCCTATTAACATCAACAAAATTTCATTTCTATTGGCTCCATTTCAGGTTCAGGCAGCTGTGCCCAGAGGCACTGGTGGTTTTTGATGTCTAGGTGGTTTACTGCTCCACGGGGAGTTCATGTAGTACAACTAGACTAGCTCTTCTCCCAGTAGCGTACCTGAAGGAGAATTCACAGACTGGAGTGCATTCCAACAAGATGCTCAGAATGCCCTGGGCACCAACCCTGACCAGGGGCAGCTGAGATGCTTACCTGGGGGATACCTCAGGTGGGACTTGAGTGTGTCCTCTGAGACTGATGGGCTCTCCAAGGCAGTATCCAACTTGATACTGTGTGTTGACTGGTTTAGATTGTATATCATTTGTGGTTTTCATATAATTAAGTATTATCCTGAGGCTCTTTATGGGTTTGGCCACTTCCTCTTGGAGAGGGAGGTGGATGACCTGGTATTGAGGTCAGCTTTCTTGTCGAAGTCTTGCCAGTGTCTGTTTAAACTGGAATTTGAAAGTAGCTAAGGTGGTGGGGTGAGGTGGAGGGGGTCTCAGAAGTTTTTTTTTTTTGTTTCCCTTTCTTTCTTTTTTTCTTTTCCTCTTCTTTTTTTCTTCTTTTGGTATTTGGGATCAAACCCAGAGCCTCATGCATGCTAAGCATGAGCTTTACTGCTGAGCTTGAACTACAAGATGAAATATTGTTCACATTGACCTTGAACTAGGGTGGGCTCCTTGCAGGAGCTGGAGAGGAGTTAGGGAGAAGAACCTGGAGGAGGCTGCATGCTCATTGGCTTTGGGCCTGAGGGCTGTTGTGTGAGGAGCACCTACAGCTTCGAGTAACAGAATACTACCTGCAGTGCCTTTCAAAGAGCAGGG